TCTCTCTCTCTCTCTCTCAAAAATAAATAAAACATAAAAAAATTTAAAATAATAAACATTAAAAAAAAAAGTACCCTAAGGACCACAGATCCTTGTTCCTACAACTCCATCTTCAGCCCAGTCATAGCCTCCTGAATGATGCCACCCCAGTTCTGTTTCACTCACTTCCTTTCCAACCCCCCTAGACTCACCTGCTCTCCCATCACCTCCCCTAACGCCAAGTATCCCTTTTGCTCTGTTGCTTCATCTCTGGAGACAGGTACCTAAACAGACAAGCTAGGCAGGTTAACTGCCTGATGGGAAGAGGCTTGGGGTGGCTTCTGTAAGCTCAGCCCCAAGTACAGTGAGGCTAAGGTCAGGCTCAGCTGTCTTAAGGTGGAGCTTAGGGAAAAACCTTGGTGTTTGAGACTGGGGCATCCCCTGGTGGCCAAATGGTGCCAAATGGAAGCTAAACTCTGTGGAGGACAGTAAGGAAAACTCATTATCCATCATGACCATTCTCTCTCCTACCCATCTCTCTCTCTGTGTCTCTCTCTCTTCCCCCTCCCTGCCCCCCCCGCCCCCACACAGTCACACCATCATAAAACACATCCCCAGAGGTTTTCTCCTTTTTTAATCAATGACCACCTTATCCAGCTTTGGAAACCTGGACAAAGAGGAGGCTGAGAAGAGGCCTGGTTCAGTGTCTGAGGGTCTCTGAGTGAGTCTGCATCAGCAGGTGGGCCCCAGCGGGCCTGTCCATGGGTTGGGCACAGCAGTTTCCTGAGTAAGAGCCAGCCCCACCCTCAGGGCAGCACCCAGCCAAGAAAGGAATCAAGGCCCTCCAGGCTTCAGCCTTTTCCCAAGGTCCTCAGGACAGTCAATAAATAGGTTAGATTCTGAGCCAGGCTTGGGAGGAGGGAGTGTGCAAAGGGCAGGATCAGCTGCCCAGGGACCCCGATGATTCCCAGGTACTATCCTGCCCCTTCCCACAAGGAAGTAAATAAATAGACCTCCAACTCAAGAACAGGGGCGTTGGAGCAGGGGAAGCCTCCCCTTGAGTTAGTAATTAAGTCTCATGTTAAAAACAAACCAGCCCCAACCCCTGCCAGTGTCTACAAAATCCTACAGGATGGGGTGAAGGGCTAGCCTGCCTGGGGGTACACAGTACCCAGCCCTGCAGGGTCCTGGAAGAGGTCTCATGTCTGTTCTGCAGCTCCTGGGGCTCCCTCTTCCTTTGGGGGTGGCTCCAGGAAAATTGGGATGATGGATGGTGGCTTCTTCACCCTGGAAAGATAATTTGAAAATGTATAGGGAAAAGGTAATTAGCTATGCCCGCTAATCCCACTAGACTCTCACGTCCCAGGGCAGAAAAGAGTCACTCACGAGTAGGGGGAGGCTGGGACGCCCACCACCAGGAAGTGATTCTTCTTCCGAAACAATCTCCACAGGCCCCGGTGGTTGCCACGCACATCCAGGTCCCAGATATGGAGGCACTGGTAGGAGTGGGACAGAGTGAGAGGCAAGGGTCAGAGAGCTGTGGGGAGGGGCCACTGAGGACCCTTGGCTCAGCCTCCAGCCCCTCAACAGTCTCAATTTGTAAGAGGTAGCATCTTCTAGAATATGGAATTGGACAAAGGGTTTGAGAGAGGGGTTCCCAGAGGATGAAGAAAAGGTTCTGAGGTAGAAGATTCCAGAACAAAGGCTCCCTGTATCTGGTGGGGAGGAGTAAGCCTGGGGTGGGTATGTTAGTGGGGCACCTTGGCAAGCTGGGTCCAGGTGATAAAGTCATCATCTTTCTCCATTCGGATGAAGGCCACATAGGTGTGGCCCTCTGTGTCTGGCAGGAAAGAGTCTTCACAAGGGTTCTTGCTGTGGTCCAGAACCTCAGCTTCGCTGCAGCAGAGGGTAGGGGAGAAAGGCCAAGACAGAGCCTGCTTCATGGGTGTGTTTTACAAGGCCCTGTGCTTAGTTTAAAGCTCTGCTATTGCTGTCTTGAAATTCTTAATTTTTCAACAAGGTGTCCTGCTTTTCATTTTGCAGTGGGCCCCAAAAATAATGGGGCCAAGACCCCCAGTATTTGCCTCCTCACTCCCTGCCATATATCCCTGCCATAGGCCATACCTGAGCAGCCTGTGAATTTCTGCTTCATAAGCTTCCTTCTTCAGACTGAAGGAGAAGGAAAAATGGGTCAGGGGAAGGGGTAACCCCTCAGGTTCCAGGGGCAAGGCAAGGGATTACATGGGAATTGGGTGGCAGCAAGGCTGGGGTAAACAGCAGGTCCCAGGGTTGGAGGGGAATATTGGGGATTGGTCATCAAGGCTCCTAGATATCCTCCCCTCTGCTCTGTCCCCATCCCTGACCTGTCCACGTTCCTGAGCTGGACACCTGGAACCGTGTTGAACTTGTGCTTCTTGAAGTAGGCCTCCTGAAGTGGGTGTGAGGGTGAACATTAGGGCATTACACTGTCAGGCCCACACCCGCCCAGTGACCCACCACATAGCCACAAGGCCCACAGATGAAGTCCTGGACCCACAGAGGTCCCCCTAATTTCCCTCCATCTTCCCTATCCTCCTCTTTGTAGCATCTTTGGCCAGCTCTCATAGCCTTTTTTTTTTTTTTTTTAAGTTTATTTATTTATTTTGAGAGAGAGAAAGACTGTGAACAGGGGAGGGGCAGAGAGAGAGGGAGAATCTCAAGCAGGCTCTGCACTGTGAGTGCAGAGCCCAATGCAGGGCTCAAACTCAAGAAACTGTGAGATCATGACTTGAGCCAAAATCAAGAGTCAGATGCTTAACTGATGGAGCCACCCAGGCGCTCCTGCTCTTACTAGCTTTAATTTCAGCTCCCCCATTGCTAGAGACCTCATGCCCACACCAGCAGCTCATGCTCCTGACCCCTGGGTTTAGTCCCTATTCCCAGTGGTTCTCCCTGGGTCTGCTGTTGTAGAGCCACAGAAGCCAGAAACAGGCCCTGTGGGGACCAGAGGGCAAAAGGCCAGGCTGAGCTGAGACAGAGGAAAGTGCTAAGACCAAGGTACTGAAAGTGTCAATGCCTGCCCCTCTCTGGGAGATGAGTAGGGTCTTGTATAAGCCGATCTTTCAGGGTCCTTCTGGAATCTAGGAGGTTCTAAGCTGCCCATATGTTCCTTTGGGCTGGCCTGTCTCAATGCATACTGTTGCTGTATGTGGGGAGTGGCCCTTTGGACACAGCCATGTAAAGCATGGAGGCCCGGGGACCTCCCTGTTCACTTTGGGCTGAGGCTTGGGCCCCTCCACTTGCAAGGACAGGAGAGGGCAAAGCTTCCAGGGCTGCATAAGCGCCTGGTGGCAGAAATCCCCTCCCCACACCCACAGTCGGGTGCTAAGAATAGTAATAATGAAAAAAATACAAGCTAACCCTTATATAATGCTTGCAGTTCAAAGCATTTTACATATATTAACTCATTTAAGCCTCGTAACCTGGAACCCTTGTGATAGGTAGTATCTTTATCCTCATTTTACAAATAAGGAAACTGAGGCAAATGAAGATAAGGAATCTTCCCCAAAGTTAATAAGTGGAAGAGCTGGGACTGCTCTAGAGTCCATGTTCTTGCTCTATCTACTATTCTGTGCCCACCTCCACAATATCCCTGCCTCCCACTCACGTGGAAGTAGCCATTCATGTTGAGGCCAACGATGCCGAAGTGGTAGGATCTGGAAACATCAGGGATGATGCACTCTCGGCCTCGGCGTTGTTCAGGCATCCGCATCCACATGTCCCAGTCCCAGAGCTGGGGGCATGGAAGATTATGATGGTTAAGAGGTTTGGAGCTGGGAGGGGACTCCAGCCCACTCACCCTACCCTGCCAGGGCACCTTTTCTGGTGTGGGCCACTTGGGCTCAAGCTCCTCCTTATACAGGGACTTCCTGAGCACCCAGCCCAGGCCAGGCATGGTCTCCACACGGTACAGCAGTGCTGGGTCCTCAGCTGTGTGTTCATATCCCTGGGGACAGGGGTGCCATGGTGGGAGGTATCAGCTTGGTGCTTGTGCTGTACCAACACCCCAGCTGACCCCTGGCCACTTGGCTTACTTGGTCGTTCCAGGCAGAGATACAGTACAGGCTGTCGTCCTCTTCTAGTAGGTGGATGGACTGGCTCAGGAAACTGAGACAGGCAGGGTCCAAGGGTTCAGGGAAGGACAAGGACAAACCCAGTCACACAGTGATGCTGGAGGAGCTAGAGATGGGACTCAGGAGTCATGCCTACTTGTCCCTTCCCCCAAATCCCCACTGTGTCTACCCGTCCTTCTACTCTCTACTCCAACCCCAACACCTGCTGTCCTACCTTTGCAGGCTTTCCCCCCACTTTTAAGCTTATTTTCCTCAGAAAGCTCTCCCAGACATCCCACTGCCTTCTTTCCTGGAGACCCAGTTAAGCAAAGAGGCCCAAGGAAGCCTATAGGAGCTGAGTGGAGAGGTACTTATGGAAGGGCCCTCCCCTCACCTGAAAAAGTCCACAGCAATGTCCAGGTCCTCTTCCAGAACCACGGCAAACCTGGCTTCCTGCAGGGGGAGGGGGACAGCATGACCCCAAGGGGGCCTTTCCCATCCTGTGCCTCCTCCACCCCCATCTTATTTCTCAAGCAGCACTACCCTTGTTTTCCAGATCAGGAAGCTGAGGTCCAGAGAGAAGAGCTTGCTATATAATAAGACCAGACCTTATACCCATGTTTCTCCTCCCTAGGTCCAAGGACTTTGTCCTTACTACTCACCGGAAACAGGTTGAAAGTGGCAGTGAGGCTGGCTTTGTAGTGCTGGGTGGGGAGCGGAAAGAGGGCACGTGAGCTTTGGGGTGGATGGCAGGGTCAGGTGTCTGCCCCTTCCATCCTTGCCTAGGCAGTACCTGAGACACACGGGCATTCTTGATGCTGATAGGAGTGTGCTGGATGCCCCTCAGACCAAACAGGGCCACCACATCCATTGGCTCCTAGAAGGCATGGCCACTGGTCACCATATGAGCCACCTCCCCCTGCCCACCTTGCAGGCTCCGCCATGCCAAACCATTCACATTTCACAGCCCTTGCCTTGGCCGTCTCTTGTGATCATTGCTACTCAGCACCCACGGCCCTGGGCTCTGCTCTTCCCATAGCCCCCAAACCCCACTCACCTCATAGTAGCCATCGATGAAAACCGTTATCATCTGGGGAGACACCCCCTGGGCTGAGAGTAGAGAGCGCAGCATCCTGGGGAGCCCAGGGATGGGTTAGGTCTCTGTCACCCAACTCTGGGTTCCCTTGTGCTTATAGATGGGTCCACATCCCCCTGTTCACCCACATGGGTGAATGGGCCTAGAATCTGTTGCCTTTCTGCCCACCTCAAGAGTTCCTCCTGCAGGCAGATAAGCTTGAGGGTCCCACTTGCTAAGCACCCTCCTGTTCAGTGCTGGATACAGCCCACTCCCAGGCTCACCTGTACAAGTAATTGGGCCGGTTCCCTGCAATCACAGCCACAGGCACATTAAGGACCTTGTTGTCTGGGAGCTGAGGGAGAAACAGCTTTTAGTTCTTGCCTCACTCCCTCTTCACATTGGGATCCCCACCTAGGGAAGAGTTCTTTGGGGAGAAGGCGACTCCAGAGTAGAGAGGGAAAAGGCAGAGGGTCTCCCTGTCCCGGCCCTCCCATACACTCAACCCACATCCAACTCCAGGCCTTTGTTCACATGGCCTACTCTTCCCCCCAACAGGATGCCCCCCCCCCCCCCCCCCTCAAATGGGCCTTTTTCAGAGCTCAGCACAGATCCTTGGGTCCTGGTTCCCTCTCAGGCTGAGGTAGGGAAAGCCCAACCTGGCTCTTTCCTAGGGCCTCTGGCCGAGTTGAGAAGGAGTCCAAGCCTCACTGTCTAAGGCTGCACTCACTGGGTCAGGGCTGAACTCGATGGGTGTGGGGTCCTTGCAGCTGCACACACTCCCATAGCCCTCAACTTTGCTGCAGAAGCGCCGGCGGCGACGGTTCAGCTCTGTGTCTGCCCAGTGGCACTCGGCCTCTGAGGGAGGGATGGGGTCAACAGGATGAGGCATATAGGGGCAGAAGACCAGTGTGGTTTACACAACCCCAGGCACTCAGTCAAGAGAATAAAGCTCCATTAAGAGGACCCAAATCCCCACCTCCAGCCCAGGCACTGCCCTGGAGCCCAGACCCCACTAACCCCACCTTCAGCTGAGCTCAGCGGCACATCTGTCTTCAGCAGGACTGGGTCCCCCCAGGAGGAGAGGGCAGGTGACTTAGAATGTTTCTCCCCAAGGACAGGACCTAGCAGGAGGCAGGAATGAGGGGCAATGGGGGCCCAGGCTCCAGTTTGAAGCTTCTTCCCAACTCTCTGCCCACTTTCATCCAGCCCACCACTTCTGGCTCCTATTTGCCCCCAACCCCACCCCATCTCTTGGTGTTCTGTTCCTTCCAGACCCCTGATACTTTAGGGTGGATGGCCCATGGTGCCGGTACCTCCTTTCCGTCCCACGAAGGCCCAAGTGTCCCTCCAGCCCAGGGCAGGGCCAGCCTGACTGCCCAGGCTCCTCAGCAGAGCCTTGGCCGTGTCCTTGAGGTGGAAGGAGCCCTCATCCTGGGAGACCAGAGAAAGTGGTCAGCCTGCCTGCCATGGTTCTGGGTGACCTGGCTTCATGGAGCACTCGCTGTGTGTCAAACATCACGCAAAACCTTTTATTTAAATTAGCTCGTTAAATTATCCCAACAACCCTCTGAGGTTACTATCCTTTCACAGTTAAGAAAACTGAAGGTTTAGAGAGATTCTGAGAATTATCCAAGACGGCCATGCTAGTAAATCCTTACCATGATCCCATACAATCTACATCTCTCTGCTCTTTTCCCACCACTCCCCTCCCCTCCCTTAGTTTGCTCCAGCTCCACTGGCATCCTTGCAATTCCTCAAGCATGCTAAGCACCTTCCCACTTCAGGGCCTTTGCACTCGTCAATCTTCTTCTCTAGAACACTCTTCCTCCAGATAGCCACCTGGCCCTCTCCTTACTTCCTCCAGCTTTCTGTTCACGTCACTTGCTTAACAGACACCTTCCCTTTCTAAAATGCATCACTCATCATTCTGTTTTCCCTGCTTCACTATCTTCAGTAAGTTATCATTTCCTGACATCACACGTTTATCTGGCTTTTTTGTTGTTGATCTTGCCCCGCAGAATGTAAGCTCCATAAAGGTTGCTTCTGATTGTAGCTCTAGCACCCAGATCAGTGCCTGGCATGCAGTAGTTGCTCAATAACTATTTGCTAAATAAAAATGACAACGCTAAGATTGGAACCTGTATTACCTTCCTCCAGAGGTTCTTCCCACTATGCTTTATGAGGGGTATAGAACCCAGGGCCATGATCAAAGTTGGAATTGGGGGCATTGGGAGAAGGACCAGGGCAGAGTCACTGACCTTGACAGTGCAGATGAGCACTCGGCCAGGTGCCACCATGTTGAGGAACAGCACCATGGCCTCATCCTCATGAGGTGAGTATGTGTCAAACACACGCTTTGCCATCACATGGCCCTGACAGGGACATACCTCTCATGAGTTAATGTCACCAGCAAGGTGGGCTCAGCTTCAGCCCTCCAGGTCCCCCACCCCTAGAACCTCACCGTGGCCTGGTTGAGAACGATGACATGGATGCCCCGGCCTTGCTCCCGAGCCTCGTCCTCCAGCACCTACAGGGTGGCAGAGACAAAATCCAACTCTTCATGGTGGCATTCAAGGTCTCTCTGTCTTATGGGAATTTAAAAAATCAGCTGCATGAAACCTCTCCTCCTGCCTATGCCTCTGTTAACAGTTCTTTTCTGACCCAGCCTGAATGCCACCTCTTCCAGAAAACCTCCTTAAGTTATCCATTAGAGAGATCAGATCTTTCTAGAACCCTCCTCTCTACGGCTTTCAGACTCTTAGAGCCCTAACGTCTCTTCCTAGTGCTGGAGATACTATAATCCATCAGATTAAGCCCCTCGAACTGGGGCCAGCTCTGATTACCTCTAGGTCCCCAATGCCTGGAACTAGGCTGAGGTCAAAGAAGGGACCAGAAAACAGTTATGGGATAAGTCAATGAATTATCTACCTACTGATACTAATGATCACTTTGCATAATATTCCACTACATGCAACACATTTCACATACTTTTCTTTTAATCCTGACAAGGAGAAATCATTAGTCCCAGCCTTTAGATAAGGAACTGAGGCCTCCAGAGCCACATAGTTTGAAAGTGGCAGAGATGCAGTACCCACTTAGGCAGTAGATCCCAGAGCCACGGACCCACACCCTGAGTAGAATACAATGACTGTACACCCGACACTGGCCCACTTACCGTAGTGCCATCCACAGCTACGTATACTTTGCTGCGGCTTGAGTACACCTCCACATCCAGAACCCGTCGGGGACCACTGCCCCTGCGCCGTGACGGCTCTAATCGGCCCAGGGCCTCATCTGTAGAGGTGCAAAGGTCAGGGAGATGGTCTTTCCAGCAGCATCTCATCCCTTGGGATCTGCCTACCATTTCAGCTGTGAGATCCCGGGGGACCCCTCCCCCACCACCACTCCACCTCAACAGCCAATCCCATCCTCAGCCTGGCCCCACCATAGTCTTGTTCTGGCTCCGAGTCTCCATTGGCCTCACTGATTGCTCGACGCGTGTCCAGGATCAACTTGATGTTGACAATGACGGTCACCAGTAGGAAAAGCACTGCCCCTGTCTGAGAGGAGCGGTAGGGATGACTAAAGAGGGGCACCCCCTCCAGATCATTGAGGGTCTTCCTGAAAGGAGGGCCCTGGCTGCAGTGAGGACACAGGGAGATCCTGGGGCCTCTCGTCCCTCTGTCCACCCAGTTCTACTCCCCCCAGCCAGGGTCCAGTTTCACAACCACCTCCTCCTGGGAACCACCCCTGACCCTTCTCTCTTCATCAGGGCCCTTCCTACCCAGAGCTCCTGTATTCTTCCATTTGAGGCCCTGATTTCCTTGGTCCCCTCCACAATTAGTTCCTAGAGATGGAGCCAGTCCCAGAGAACCAAGCTGGGGATCAGAAGACCTGGGTCTTAGCTCTGACTGCCTGACAGGTGTGTGTACCCCTGGGCAAAGCCTTCCTGATTAGACTTCAGGTTTTTGTCAGAAGTCTAGGAGGTTGTACTTGGGTTCTGATTCTAGAACTCTGGGCCCAAACCACCACCTCGTAGCGACGTGACACAAAGAGGTTTCCTCTCTAGGAACCTGCCGCCCCTTTCCAGGGTTGGGGGTAGCCAAGGTAAGTCCCAGTGCCAATAGTCTAGGCTAGGGTAAAGCTGGGAGGGAGCCCCTAGGAGGTTTGGGACATTTCTATACCTGACAGAATCTCCGCAGGGCCCGCTGGTTGGTCAGTTTATACTTCCAGGTAAGATACCAGCTCCGCTTCTTCCGAGCCCCAAAGGGCTTGATGAGGGAGCTGGGCTTCCAGTCGTCCATGCCGGATTGGGGAGTCACCACTGTCCTGGCCAACCCATGCCTTCAGGAATCTGAGAGGACCAGAGGGTCACATGGAGTAAGGTGTTCCTCCCAAAGTCTGATACCTTCTAGGGAGACCAGGGAGGACCTCCCAGCAACGCTTCCCTGAAGACATCCACGCTGTGTGACCTGAGAAAAGTGGCTCAACTTCTCTGGAGAGGAAACCTTCAGAGGGGTCAGATCACCTGGAAACTCCCCCTGGGGCTGGGGTAACTGACACAGCTGCTCGGGGACCTTCCCCCCCCCCC